ATTTGTACTGACAATGTGAAGAACTGATTAAATTTTTGGGAAGACAGGTCTAGCGATTTCAAAGATCTAGTGAAAAAAATAAAAATAAAATGCCATTTGGTGGTCAAAAATGATCATTAGACATATGCACATCAAAATATCAGATATTTTAACTGCATAGAGACGAAATATGGAAGCGCATAAGCGCCGCGTCGGCTTGCTTTGAAAAAAAGTTCAAAATTTCCAAAATATTTCAAAATAAAGAAAACATTTTGTTTCAAAAATTCTTCTTTTTCTAAAAAAGTAAATTTTTGTCAATAATTTAGTTTCTCAAAAATTACCGTAACATTGTTTGTCTGTTATACTGCGGTGCGGCGCTTACGCGCTTCCATAATTTGTCTCTATGTAGCTATAGCAGCGCGAGTGCTTGAAAAAATAAAATAAATTTCCAAAATATTTAAAAATAAAAAACATTTTATTTTAGAAAACAATTTATTTCAAAAATGACTTGATTTCAAAAATTTCAAAATTCTCAAAAATCATTTTATTTACATGTTTAATCTTATTAAAAGTATCTTTTTTAAAAAATATGATTTGGTACGGGAAGTTCCAGCAATTTGCGTCAAGGCACAAAATGGTTTATAGCTACTTTTGTTATCAGAAATATGTAACACAACACAATATAATAATTCAAACAAAGCCTATGAATGTAATGTAATAACAATATATAACAAAATGTTTTCTTTTTTAATTTGTTTTCTTGTATTGAATTTTCCTTTTCCTTTCTTACTGTATTTCTTCTTATTAGTTAAGTTAGATTTTTCTTTTGTCTGTTCAAATTTTACCCAAAAAAGATAAGAAGAACATGTCACAACATATACATGTCACATAAAACAAAACTATTTGCTGGCAATTAATTACTATTGTTCAACTTACAGCAAAATAACAAACCAGGGCCTAGTTAGTAATATTCCACGTTCCTTATCACAACACCACGATTGGCCCAAAACTTAGTATTTGAATATGTTTCTGTTACTAATGGAAATATTTACTGATCCACATCTTATTTTAAAATGTTTTTATAAGTGTAATATCAATTTTAGATGACATATTGTATCTTATATCGAAAGATGAATATAACATTAAATCCCTTGAAATAACAGCGTTTGAAGTAGAACTAATGTTATCTTGACATTTGTATTATCTATGTGTTATTTGAAGGTTTTAAGCTGTTGAGTGTACTAATATAACATTTTAGCGGTTTTGAAAAACCAACATCATGATGGCACTATCAGGAAAACATGATTTATCAAGTCAAAATAGCTGTATCGAGAACAGATAATATTATGGAATTATTTAAGAAATGTTGTGTTTTCATAAGCTCAGCGATGATCACTATCGCCTACAATAAATGCATTTTAAAAATTAATTTAATTTTCTAGTTGCTTTTACCAATGTTAATAATTCGTTTGCATTATACATTGAAAAATAATATTCTCACTACGCACCTCCTGGTAAAAATATATATTTATCATTCAAGAATTTAAATATATCATCCACGTTTTAATAAAAATTATTTGCTTTTGCCAAATGGCTATCAAGTTTAGCAAAATGCAAAAAAAACTACTAAGAAAAAACATAGAAACGTAATAAAAATGAAAATTTTATCTTCAGCAATATTTATTTGCTTCATGTGTATTATTTTTTATTTAATAATGTAAATTGTCCCCTAGACGCCCCACTAAGAAAATAATGGTTACCTGCATGCGCAAAGCATAAAAAAACATACCCCAGTGGGAAGCCAGAGAAACCTATGCAAAACAAGCATAAAAACACAGGTTGTAAATATTCCAATAAAGATAACGCCGTATTATGGACCAAGTCCAAAAAATATGGCTTTATTCTATACGTATGCGAAGAGTTGAAAAGTTGCAAATAACCTGATAAAACGTAAAAGTGAAAAAGTCCACTACTGATTTTTTTATGAGAAATTTCAAAACTATATTTGAAAATAGAGGGCAAAAGATTGTACAGCCAAATGCCCGCTGTTGGTTGAATAATGTATTTAATTTTTCATAAAGTTCTTTAAAATTAAAAGTAACACATTGGACCTGTTTGCACTGCCTTTAAGTAGAAGGCGTAAAACGAACCAGGTGACAAAATGTTGAAAAACAGCAAACACATTTCTACAATGAAGAAATAGTTGGAAATTTCATTAAACAATGTCAGATAGTTATTTGTATGATGTGTAATTTGTTGTGATGCAATTGGTTTGGTTTACACAATATAATTGCTCAAAGTCAAATTGAACCATATATATATATATATATATATATATATATATATATATATATATATATATATATATATATAGGGTAGGGCAAGATTCAATTTGACTATATAATATATATATATATATATATATATATATATATATATATAACTTGATCTACTTTATGTATGTATTACTAAAGCTCCGCTAATCCACCTTCATTCTAGATCTACAAAATCGCTCATATATATCCAACATTGCATAGTAAATACAGTTTGCAAATCTTCCTTCATCCGGATGCAGAAACAATTTCTCGCAAAATTTCTACAAATGCAAACTATCAAATTACCCTTCTGAATCCTCATCTAATAAAATATTCCATAATGCGATGTGTAATTATCTTTTACACCCTTATTTGATACAATGTTTGCGATTCAAATTATTTCAGCAATGCAGCGTGCAAAATGATATTGCGAAATGTTTTGCGAAGTCAGAGTTAAGCACATTAAATCCGAATTGAGTGCAGAATTATTTAATAAATTCAATTATGGCGCCATTTATAAGCCTCATTTAGCTCGTGCTAAGTACAATTAGTGTGTGATCGTTTTAGAACTCTAAACCAATTATATTGTTAGAGGACAGTTGCTTCAGTAAATAAACGTTAATTGGATAGGTTAAAGAGCATTAGAGTAAGTCAACAGCTAAATAAATCTATTACAAAAATTGATTTATATTAACAAAAATTAAGTCCTCACATTATATCAAAGAACGTTACTTTATATTTCTCAAAATATGTTTTAAATTTATTATTGCAAAACATTATTCGTAAGTAAACACTATTATTTGAGAAATGTTGTAATAAAATGAAATTTTTAGTTTATTTAAATGATGGCTATTTAAATTTTCAGAAAGATACTTTATTGAGGAGGATGTACAGTTTTTGATAATATAGTTAAAAACTCTAAGCATTTTGATTTGAAAAATATTTCTCTGCATTAATGGTAGCCTTTCATTAACTCGCCGAAAGCAGAAGTTTATATTTGTGTCAAAAAAAGTTATATTCAAATGTTATGTGTTCTCAAGTAAATTATTAATAAACAGTTTTTGACAGTTTTTTGTATTATTTTTAAAATAATGAATGTAATCGCTAAAAAGAAATTTAAAATATATTGAGGCAAATCAAATGTTCAAATTACTCTTTCAACTTAGTTCAGACTGTAAATATAATCATTTCTTTAAAAATAAATTTAAATTTTATTTATGGGAATTATTCAATGCATAAAGCATTATAAATGGTTTAACTTTTTTAAGTATTCAAGTCAATTATATCTAAAACAATAGTTTGAAATACGATTTGAATATTTACACTATGAATGAAATCATTTCTTTAAGAATGAATTTAAAGCATATCTAGAGTAATTATATATTTAAAACGCTATTTGAACTAATAGACTATTTATATATTTCTTTTTTAAGTATAAATTCTAAGTATATTTGAGACAATTAAGTGTTTAGATAACTAATTGATCCAATTTTACATTTGTGATTTTTTTACTTTGCAAAGTAAACGTGCAAGTAAAAAATTTTGTGTGCGCAATTTGAACCAATAGAATATGAATGCAATTCTTCAAAAATTAACTCAAAGAATATGCTAATTTCTAAAGCACAACTTTGCTCTAATGCAACTACATAATAATCTTTATATAGAATAGCCATACAAAACCTAATTCCTCTATTACATTTTATATTTCGAAGTATACAGTAATCCTTTATTGTAATTCATATCTGTCTATAAACTGTCCTTTAATCATTAAAATATTTTTCCAGAAATAAAGATTCTTTGAACTATATCACAGATAATATTTGATTAGACAAGAATGTAAAGGGCATTCGTTTGCACCCAAAATAAACCAATCGAAAAAATAACATAGAATTTTAAAACTTTTGTATGTAATATCTTAACATTCAAACAAGTAACTGGTAATACGTTAACCTTCGAAAAACTAATTGTTGGCAGTGTATTATTTTATCTTAATATACAACGATTTAAACTATCATTTTACAATCGGTCTGATATTACAGCTGCATCTGTAAAAAGTATAATATTTAACAGAAATGGGCAGCGTCTAGTTTTATCATGAACTCATATGAAACCATATTTCATGTAATGAACTAATCAGTGCAAATATAGGTCCAATTAAACCGAATCTTATTAGTGTAAACAGTATATTTGAGTCAATTAAGTGTTTAAAAAAAATTTTAACTAATTTTAAATTTGTGAAAATATCTTCGGAACGGCTAGTCCCGCCGTTGTAAAAAACCAATCAGCACGTCTCCTTATCAATAAAAATCGAATATTTTTTTAATCATTCAAATCGGTTGATACGTGTTCTCGAAATCGTCGACAATTTGAAAAATTTTATTCGCACATACATACACACACATCTTGATACATCAATTTTTTCTACTGTCTGCCAAAATGTTCAGAAACCGTTGAAACGTAAAGATATATTGAACTTTTGTTTTCGATTTTTTTGCGAAAAACTGTCTGCACATTGTATGTTGCGAAATAATTACTAAAGCCCAATAAATTAAAAAAAATCTTTTTGAAATTTGAGATTTTGTAGATTATCTTACTACATATTTACCTAATTAAAAAAATGGCCTCTATTGCATCTATACAAGATATAAAATAATATATTAATAATACATACACCACTTCTCCAAGTAAGTTTATCTCTGTACTTACATACTTATCAGCATCGCAGCTACAGAGTGATGAAGTGCTACGTCCTTTGACTCCGCCACTCAGCAGCAACTCGTCGCTTCCTCTCGAACTGGCGATGCTACGAGCGCTGCTACGTTCCGTCATGGTACCGACTTCACTACATCGACTCATAACACGGATAATATGAACTCGAACACCAAAATATGCCGACTACATCACATTCTTAAATAATTTTATACTAACTGTCATCACTAGTAACACTCTAATTTATTCAATTTTATTATTTCTATTAATTATTGATTAAGTTGGCAGTCAAATTGTAAATTGTTTTTAAGTCTATTACATAAACAATGATTGTCTATGGTCTAAGTTGTTGCACCACAAGTACCTAAATTTTTATTCTATACATTTAAAAAAGAATTGCCTGTGGTAATAAGAAATTAAGAGCTTTTAGTTTTTGAATGCAAAACATTTGGGTTGTTAATGTTCGACAAAATATTTGCACATTTTTTTCGCGCGCATTTGTTTATCCAATTGCAGTTGCATCACCTGAAATGAACGAATACAGATATTAGTTGTAAAAATATTTGAGCATAATACTAGAATAATTGAAAAAAATAATGAGAACAATCTTTCATAGAGATATAACGTAACTATATTTTTATGTTTACAAATGAAAGTGCACGTTTTGCTAATAAAATAAAAATCATTTGATGCTTAATAACTCCTTATATAGGATTTTTGTATTAATTTTGTTGGAATCATCTATTTGTCAAAATTTCACTTTTTCTCTAGAAGTGTCGACTACAGATTATATGACTACCTGTATATATATATGGGGGAATGAAATCCACATGACTACCTTGGTATCGTGCAATATTAAATACCGTAAAATACTAGTTAGAAAATATATTAATAAAATATGATACAATATTAACTATATATTGGCTGAACTTTTGTTTCACACCAAAAAGAATTTGGGAAGCAAAAAATTAGTAATTGTAAGCCTATATTTGCAGATGAACAACAAGAAATTCTGTTTTAACTTTGAAACGTATTAATAAATTGATGTGACTACTTTAAAGTCGTATCGGCCTATAATGATCCCACCACTTCTGTGTATGAAAATGTTATTTCAGGTTGAAAAACCTAGCAAAAACCATAAATATTTATATTGATGGGCTTGATAATGTTATAGAATTAAGACTTATGTACCATTTCTGAGTCAAAGGCCATGATTACTTGGTGAAATACCGAAAAATTTGCAATGTGACCTGAAAGTTACCTGGGCCTTAAAGGGTTAATATAATATTTTTATTTTAATATCTGAGGAAATAAATATTTTTCTATATGCTGTAGACATAAATGAAAAATGTGAAAAATTTGCATTCAAAAGTTGTAAATCATATGGTGTTTCTTTCGTAATAATAGAATTGTTATGAAAGATAACTAGTGAAGCATATTGTGTTGTACTTTTTCTGTTAATAGGATCATATAATTTTAATATTATTATAATTGTATACCAAACATATGTAACAAGGCGATAAGGTACTACTACAATACATTGTTCCTAAATGATTCACTAAATGATTTTAATTACATTTTTATCGATTGTGGTAATTGTGCATGATTTTATTGCAAATCACAATGAAGTATTTGTATATTTTCTACATTATTGATATACTAATAATGAGTTTACCGAAACTAACATTGATTTTCTGCAATACCTTACAGGACTTGAATTACATGATATATATGTATGAGTAGCCTAATGTCAAGAATTATTTTAGATTTAAGACGTTCTTCAGTTTTCTTTTAATTAACTTGATATTACCATAGTTTTTATGTTAATTGGCGCATTGAACATGTAATTTGAATCAGTCTACCGTTGATATAAATTTTTTGTAAATAAAAATTCATGATTTTATATAAGAGATATGTATAGTCTAATATTTTAATGGTCATGATACGCCATCGTTAACTGTAACCTACTGTTCGCATTTAGATACATTTGTAGAATGCTAGAAGCAAGTACAGGATTATTGTTACTCAAAATAGCAATGTTATCTCCAAATGTAGCAACCGTTAAACGTTATGGTAATGGAATTGAATTGTACTCGGTATGGTAAACAATTACAAAAATAGACCCAGACCTTTGCGCACCTGCTTCAAATGAGAATCTGCATTTCGGAACACCCCAGATATTATTGACAATGGCATTTGTTGAAAACTTATAAAGTATACTATAGTGAAGATGATCAAATTTATGTGCTTAGTTTATACATTATAATTAAAGCAATGATCTAAGTGCTACAATTCATTCTTTTTCTACGAGTATCGTCCATAGACGACATCCACTCGTCTGCTTGCGTACTGTGTATATGGGTGTCGGCCATGTACACGTGTCAGCCTTCACTTCAAAATTTATCACTATGACTTAAACTATTGAGCATTCTAGTTTTTCATTGTGATTTGTAGTTTATTAGAAACGTAATTTTTAATTTATGAAAAATTATAAGATATGTTGTTGTGCATGGTCTGTCTAGTAGCTTTAGTTGACGGCTCGCTGTTCTGTACAGCTGTGTCATACCTGCACACTAAAAACAATCTCGTAGCGAAAGGGTAAATGAATATAATTATTTTATATTTATTACACTTAATATTTATTATAATCGACCTGTATTGATTAATTTCATACGCATCATCTCTCAAAGTCAGTCCACTTCAGGACAATTCTCATTCTTCGTACAATCGGTGCCATTCGCAATTATGAACGGGTCGGTATGTAGAATGTAGAACAAATGGATGTCTCTACCGACGTGAACCCTAAAGGTGACCGACTATGTCAAGAAATGAGATCTCGGTCCAGATAAATGAACGACATACCGCTCGAGTGTGCGATAGGGCTCCTACAAGTGGGGCTCTCTCCTGCGGGTGCTGGTGGGGGTCTCCCGCCAAAGGTAGAGGTAGACTAGGGCACGGAAAATAAATGATAAAACGTGATTAAATCCGTTATCAATTTTACTTCGTTAACGTAAACGATGTTTCTTTATTAAATATAGCATTAATAAATAAACGTTATAAGATTAATATGTAGTATATAGAGCAGGGCTTAAAGGTCCGCGTTTGTAAAGGTCCACCACCAATTTCTCAAAAAACAAATGAAGTTAGGATTTTTTCAACACCAATATTTGACAGTAAAGGACACAAGATGTGTAATCAGTCATTGCCTTAAATTAAGCAACGTAGCTATAAGGAAATAAATTCTTTTCTTGTTAATATTTTTGATTGTGAGCACAATACAATTTTTAGCAATACGTTATTTAAGTGTTTTATATGATAAATAGTTAATTTTAAGTTAGATTCAATAGATGTTTTTATATAACTTCTACAATAGCTAACAGGTGCGCGGGGTATAAAGAACCAACAGAACTTTTACCCTTTTTCAAGGTGTAAGCAACAAAAAATTGTTTATAAAAAAGTACATTAAGTTGAATAAAGAAATTTTACAATAAATAAATTGAAGTAATAATTATTCAAATTCTGCTTATGAATATTTGTGACGAAATACTAGTTCCAGGTTATATACAGTGTTATCTCTGTAAGAAGTAACCCATAAAATATATATTTCGCATTGGTCGTTATTTTATTAGTAAATATCCTTAAAAATTAATAATGAGACATTGGAATTATTCACACTATAGCTGTTCGATTTTACCCCGCTTATAAGGTGAATAGGACCAGGTGCCAAATTTACGAAAACCAGCATAAAGATCACAATTATAAAATGATGAAATAGCTGAGAGTTTTACTAAACATTATTGATTATATTGATTGTTTAGATTGATTTTACTAAACATTATCAGTTGTGTGTTTGATATGTGTTATTTGGTTTGATACAATTAGTTTGGTTTTCACAATAAAATTGCTCGAAGTCGAATTGGATCTTTTATTGGAATTGGATGAATTTTAATTGGAATTTTATTTTATTGGAATTTGAATTTCGTATTAATTAAATTATGTAACTATTATTATATAAAATTCCTTTAAAATAAAAAAGATATTGTATCTATTTGTCTGATGACTGTCTATGAATGATGAATTTTATAATAATAGCAAAAACCACTATTTAAAACTTAGGAAGTAACTGGAAATTTAACTGATTATAGTAGTTTGTTTGATACAAATTGTCTTTTATGATGTAGTTTATTATTTTGTTTACACTAAAGGTTCCCAAACTTGTTTGTATCGTAGACCCCTTACTTTAGTACTAATGTTGTATTAAACATTTAAAGTAAAGATTCAAATACAAGTTTAGACATCGACTTTAATAACAAAAAATAGTTTAATAATAAAAAAATGATATTAAGAAAGTGTATTGTGATCCACTATCTTGGATGTCTCAAATTCCTTTTCGCCGACGTGGACCCCTTGAAACATGTCATGAAGCCCTGAGGGTCCACTATAATTACTCATAGTCTAATTGGACCTTTATGACCGGCCATACTCTACATCATTTTCAGTACATTAACAATGAATTACAATTTCTTAGTCACGATAGTATCAAAATTAAAGTGTTTTACCATCATCATTTATTTTTCTATTAAAAATAAAATATTACTACATCATTTTCCAAGCCATCAGAGTTCTTGGTGATATTTATCTTTAGTTTATGGTTAATAGTATATTGCTGTACTAGTTAATGTTTTTTCTTAGAAGTGTGTATCTATTTACACAGAATTTATAAGTGACTAAGGTTGTTCGAGCACATAAATTGATGATCGAATGCATTTGATGCGGAAAGTCATTACGAAGAGCAAATATTATAGACAACTTCAAGGAATGATTTGAACTTCATTATGATCACGAACGATACAAGATATATCAAGTTTGAAGTAGGAATGTTTTTAGCCTAGTTGGAAATATTGAATGAGAAACAAAGATCAACATACATGCTAAAAACAAATTAAACTTGCTAACTTTTTAATTTCTAAAATTAATACCAAATAATTAGAAAAATACTCAAACAATCTCAAAATAACTAATATCATATTTATAATGTTCATGCATATAATCTAATTTAAAGGTATATTTACTCGTATTATTTTATTATTATTAAACGATATAGAAATTATATTACAATT